TATGAAAGGCTAGAGTACATGAGAGGAAATTGAAAATGTATAGGTTGTTGATCTCAAGAGTGGCTTTTATTAGTTATTGTACATAATAAGTGTTGTGTCAGAAATGAAAGGGATTAACTCTCACTCAAGGTACTGCACCTGAGCAAATATTGTCTTGCCTGGGTGAAATTTGTGCCAACACAAAGAAGATTTGGTATGAGGCTATGTACTGCTTAAGTGTCACTTAAGTCTCTGAAATGAGGATTATGCAGGATTTTAGTGGTACAAAAATATAAGGGCAAATTTCAACCCTTATATTGCTACAACATGTATCCTTGGGGCTCCTGGAGTAATGTAGAGTCTCACCAGGACATATCAAAGCAGTTGGAAAGTGCTTTTTCTGCAGACTGCCTACTTTCTGGATTTGGGAGTTTCTCATGTAACTGAACTGAAGCTCTGAAGTGCCCTTAGAGAGAATCTAACTGGATAAGTGAGTTTTAATGGCTGAATGTTTTATTCTCTGCTGTATTTTCCAATGGTTCAAATGCTTTGGTCTATGTGAGCAAGTAGAGGAATATTTTGCTGAGGTCAGTAGATTTTTCTGAGAAATACTGTAAATGTTGAGACTGCAGTTGACAGTGTGAATAGAAAACTCAAAGTTTCAGACTAAAAGTAACAAACATTTTCAGACCAGAGGACAAAAATTCTAAGTCTGGAGGACAAAGGAAATGCTTTTCATGCTGAATCCTTCTGTCTAGATCTGCTTTCAGCAGATGACACCCACCTTTCAATCGCACTCTTGCATCTGTGCCCCGTTTGCACACCTCTTGCTAAATATTTTCCTGTCTGTGGAAGAATGGTGAAATGGTTTCACAAGAACACAGACCATTTACTTGACAGCCGTTCCCATATTTAATTGTCTGTCTTCAGTGATAAGGCGTGCCTATGTAAGCTGGACTGTAAACACCGAAGGGTAAGGACTAGGTTATATTCTTGTACACACAGTATTTTCAGAAAAACTTTTCCTATTTTTTGAGTGGATTCCCATATTTATTATGTCTACCGTTTACCCTACCACAACATAGGCTAAGGGGAAAGGAAATGGGGAACCTCATGATGTCTTTCTGCCCCTCCTGTGTATTAACCTGTTTCCAGGGATACCTTGTAGTGATGCCTCTGTTTTTTAACGTGTATGTTCCAAGACATGGATTTCACCAACGGAGAGTGAGAGGCTTTGGGACACTGTCGTATAAAACTGTTCCTTTGGAGAGGATGTTTGAAGCTGTGTTGAAAATGTAATGTTTTTGAGGGGCTTGTGTCACTTGCTGCCCTCCCTATCATAACAATCACTGCCCACATCATAACAACATTTTCTTCCCCACAAGGCTGGTATTGATCACTGAACCCTGGCTATATGGTTGCTTACTAGAGTTACTGGTTAGTCTGAAGGATCATTTTACATGGTTTTAGGGTTTTTTCCCCATTTTTTTCTTAAATTTTTTGTGACTCAAATGTATTCTGTTAGTTTCATTTGTCCTGCACTCTCCTCCTCCTCTTTCCTTATTTAATTTGATCTACACATATGATTGTAAATGTTGAATTTTTATATCTTGTATTGATATAGTGGTTGTGTTCTGATCTGAAGGTGATTAGTAATACGAGGAAGCCAGATCAATGCTCGTTTAGGTAAAATGATCACAGATCTTTCCCTAGTAGCATGCATGGTTCCCTACCTTCCTGTCAGTCTCCATACAGCACTGGAGCCAAGATTATTCTTCCTGGTGAAAGGAAATCTAATTTACTAGGTTTAAATAGTACTGCAATCAGCATGTTTATAGCAAGTGGTAATTATATCGAGGTTTTTGTTGATAAATTGATCCCATCCTACTCCTGAATATCTTTGGATATTGTGTTTCTTGTGTTGCCCTGGTCAGTACTTAGTGATCCCAACTAGATCACAACTGCTTTTCTTCACAGCCTTTGCTGGCAAAACCTTGAGCTTGTATTTTGCTCTTTTGAGTAGCTGGTAGTCCATAGCAACAATATGTACAAGTGAGAATGAATGGAGCTGCTTTGCACCCCAAGAACCCTATATACTTCTCTGACATATGAGGGAGCCATAGGGTGGTGATGGGCTCCTCTGTCCTTCATCTAATATTTACCCACCATAGGAACACTAGAAATCAGGTCATTGTCCTCACAGGACACCATTTTGCAGATGAAGAAATTTTTGGCAGAACAGAGTCAAATAACATAGCATTCCTCTAATATATATCAGATGGTGATATATAGAAATGGGAATTTTGTGGTTTAGTACTGTATACCTCCTTCTCAAGTTTGGCTAAAGACTTTGCATTCTTCTTGATTTCTGTCCTAGTCAGAATTGCTGTCATGTGCTCCAAATTAATTTCTATAAATTTTCCCTAATTTCCCAAATAAAAACACTGGATCACATTTTTGTCATGTTTACAATGTACATGGAGGTGAGGGGAAATCTCAGAGGAGTCAGGTCATGGATGTTTAAACTTGCACCTGCACAGCTGTGACTGAGCCGTGAGTAAGCACAGAGCAAGCAAGAACTTTTCTGTGCTAGGTGTGTTTCTAGGGAGTCTTTCCTTTCCATGGTCAACAAAAAGTTTTGGAAAGCAGGATGGTTTTCCCTTGGTATGTTTTTGATACTTCAAGGCAAAAGTAAGGGAATAGCCATTTCTTTATTATTAGTGGGGAAAATGCATTTAGATTTCTGACCAGCTTTGTCCCACCTTGAAGAGAAAGGAAGAGGAGAAGAAAAAAAGGGGAAGACAGAGAGAGAGCATCAGAAGTTTTTCTGTCTTATTTATTTCTAGAAAAAACATCACTAGTGAGCTTATTAGTATGGCATTTTCAGTGGAAATACAGTATTTCTGCTGGACAAAATGCAAGAATGTTTTATCTCATGGAATTTCCCACTCAGGAATGGAACAATTCTTCATACTGCCACAACTGCCTCAGCTCCTAATATGGATTTAGCAAGTAGCTCAGAAATACCCATTAGGACCCAAAGACACAGTTGCTATGGTGGTTTTTCAAAACCTTAAAGGGGTATAATAAAAAAAGTCAGGAAAAAACCTTTACTGTAAAAATTGTTGGTTGCAAAATAGGAAGGATCCTGCATTTTGCTGCTGAGTTACTAGCTGTTTGTTTTGATTTCTGCCACAGCAGGTTCTGCCTTGAATGCGCTATGAAATTTATTTTTATTTTGTTTTGTGTGCACTGAGCCCAAGCAAAAGCCTTCTGTGAGGATGTCAGTGCCATTTTGCTCTCAGAGATTGTAGCTTTCAACTTGATGCTGTCGTGTAATGACACTATTCTTGTTCATCCTTGTTTTGATGGTCTTTTGATGTGTCTTCTGAATGAATGGGTTTGGTCCTTGTTTGTAATTCAAATTGCTGAAGCCTATTTTCACTGACTTTTTAATTGTGCAGCATTTAAATCCAGAGTTCATTTTCTTTGAGAAGAATCCTCAGAAGACTATTAAATACCAGGAGACAACTTTTGGTTCAGGAAGTCTCTAAGTCAAAAGTACTGCAGGAGTACTAAGAAGGTATCACTGCATGCTTACTCTGATACACTTTTTCCTAAGTTTGTGTAATTGGTTAGTGATGGAGGAGTGATGGATACACAGTCTCACCTGGTACAGCTCCTTTATATCCCTAAACACAAAAAATGTGTGCATGTCTTCAGTCTTCATGTCTTTTTTCGGTCTCACTTCCTGCGTTTTCTACTATGCAACTGGGCATTACTTTTGAAAAGGTGAGCATGTTTTAGGGTAATATCCTAGCAGAAGTCCCAGACTTGTGTCAGTTACCAGGAGCAGTGGCATGTGGTGACCTGTGGTTTGACTGTTGGCACACTCCATTGCGTGTTTCTACCCGTGCCAGCAGCACTCTGTCGTGGTGCCTGGATAGAGGTTAGGGCAGCAGTGTGAGCCAGTGACTATTCCAAGCAGGCAGATATGGATGAGAATGCCTCTTTGGGGAGTGAGCAGAAGGACAGAATTTAGCCATATGGACATGGACTGTGCCATAAAACTTGTGCTCAGGGGCAGGGACTTGGCCCTGAACTGCTGTATTTTCTATTCCAAGGCAGGCCTGTTGATTTCTGTGCCACAGTGCCAGACCCTAAGACAGAATGCATTTACAGCTCTCTGTATACAGGACGTAATTTTAATGCTTGGCTCTTGCTGCAAAAAATGTCACAGTGAACTTCAAGAGGATTGTTTATGTCCCCAGAACCTTAAGCTAGAATAATGACTGTAATTTATTTATGCACATTTTGACAGCTTGTTATGTTTTATTCCGTAAAGCTAAATGTGGTCTCAACACCTTGGAGTTATTGCTACCGAGTAATGATGCCAGGGAGATATAGGGATTTTTGTCTCTGAGCAGAGATCTTTTCCATTCTGTAAGGATTTGGAACCACTGTCCTTGTGTCTGCATATCTGTTTGAGAACGTATGGTGAAACTGAGGGGTAAAGTGTCCTAGCTGCATAACTGAGTAGGAACAGATCGACTACATCAACACTGAGTGCTTGAATAACCCAGAAACCAATGACCTTAGCGTGGGATCTGTCACCCTCAGACAAGAGATGGGGAGCTCTGTCCTAGGGTAGAGACCTGTAAATGCTTGCTTGCTCTCTAATATTAGACACAATTTGTTTTAGGTCTGCTGAACAATACATCTGTCTCTTTCTCCGTGTGGGTCTGGAAGACAGACCCCTTCTGGTCTGAGAGGGTTGTTTCATTTCTGGGTGTGATTTATGTACACATGATGTTTCCAGTTTCTAATATAATGTATTGTTTGATAATGTATTTACAGCTTATTGGGGAGTTCGTAGGAGCATTGAATAATTTTATAAACCAATAGAATATTATATTAATAGGTTGAAAGCAGGAGTTTAAATTAAAACAAAAGAAAACAAAACCAGAGCACTAGTCATTGGATTCTGTGTGATTTTGAGTTTCTTTTTCTGTTATCTACAGCAATATCTATACTATTAAAAAAAAAAAAAAAGCTATGAGGAAGCATTCCCAAGCACTGCATTGTCTACAATCAAAGTGTTGGAAGACTCCCCAGCAGACTTGAGACCTGGACCAACCAGATTTCTCCCAAATAATTTAGAGGTACAATTCAGGGATTAACTCCAACCCAGGATCCATTCTGAACAGGTACCTGACTATTTAGTTTTGGAGCCTATGAGGGTTAAATAATATGAATAAGTAATATTTGCAACCAGTAACTATAATCCCAAAGAACTGTCCCAGGCTTGTTCAATTGTCTAGTGCAGATACAGCTAATGTAAGCTTAATTCTATAGCATACACATTTGGAAGCAGTGTTGAAATGGGGAAGGGGAGAAAGAATGTGTTTAACCTAATCCAGGATATGTGGGGATGACAGAAATCACATTAACACAGACTCTTAATTCTTTGCTGAATATCTTCTATTGGCTCTTAGCAGTAGTAGCACAAGAAAAATAACATTCATGATGGGCCAGTGTGGATCCCTGGAGTCTTGGTAGGGACTGCTGAGAGACAAAGCTCTAAATATGTCATGATGGACTGAAAAAGAAAAGGTACCATGCTAAGGGGAACTCAGAGCGTAAGCATTGGTTCATATTCCCCAACCTGAGTTGAGGGAGGACAGGACAGGACAGACTGATAATTGCCTTTGGGCTTCAGTCTGTGTTTTAACGCATTATTTTTTTTAAACTTTCTCTTAACTGACTACTCCAACAGCACAGTTTCCAGGACCAAGTTTTTTTACAGACCACATGGAGAACACAAATAGTTACTGCTTCAGAAACAACAGGAGAATGTTACTCTGCTGTTGATACAGATGCACTGATGTGAATGATCCTATTACCAGTCAGTTACTAACTCCTTAATTAAAGATTTAACTAGGTTCATAATCCAAGAGAGAGCTATGGCCACACTGGGATTCAGATGCAAATCATTCACCATCAAATTCTAGTGGGACAAGTTTGGTTTTCTCACTCCTGTTCTGAGGGACATCTGTTAATGATCAAAGTCAATGTGAAAATTGACCACCTTTGCAATCCAAGCAGGGAGATCTTCTTGAACATGGAGAGTGAGCTGAATTCCTACCTTGTTTGAGTTGGCACTTCATATCAGGATTTGAATCTCATATTGTGCATGTCTTGCAGGGATGTCAGGTTTATCAGGATGGCACTCACATATTGTTCTGTGATCACTGTGACAGTTCCCTGGTCTCTAAAGAAATTTCCTGGAAAAATAATGTGAAAATTGTGAGTGCTAGTCAGTGATTTATGGCATTTTAAGTAATCAAATGCAGCTGAAAATATTGATATGCAAGAACTTGGACCAAATCTTGGCTATAACCTTATGTGTAAACTGTATAAGAGTATGGCATGCTCCACTGTTCTCCACTGTGCCAGTTGGTTTTCTTTCCTGAAATGGTTGCAATTCCTGTTGTTAGCAGAGGCAAAACTTGAAGACTGTTAAAGAAATGAGCCATTGGGTTTTTTTGTTTGTTTGTTTGTTTTGTTTTGTTTTGTTTTGTTTTCAGAAGTGGCTGATCCTGACATATAGTAAAGAATGCACAGCCTATGTCTTCTTACGGCCTTGCCCTGGACTCTGTTTCATCTTGAAAAATACTCATAGCTAGTGTCTGTTGTGTCCTCTTTTCAGACAGGAGATACTGGCAACAAGAAGTAGCTGGTGGAGTTCTGACAGCAGGTGTTTCATTTTATTTGGCTGCTATAGGGGTTTTTGTTATACTAGCATGATTTTTTTTTCTTGTCTGTGAATTTGTGTGAAAATGAGTTATGGAGCTGAGGCCTGGACTGCATTAGGAAGTTGCTGTGCTTTAAATTAATTCTCTATACAGTCAAATGTGACCTTTGGATATTTGGAAAGGCCAACCACCAAATCCTTTCCTGTTTTCATATACTATGGACAGGGATTCTCATCTTCACGCTTGTGTTCCAGAGAGATTGACCCTACAGGACAATGGAGTGGTTAGTTTTCTGGCAGATACATTGTGACAAACTTGAAAGCTCATCTTCTTTTATAACTTTTCCATTAATTTTGTAGCTAGACAGGTAAAAATAAGCTACTTTCTGGACACTCTAGTCTCTTGCCCATCAGGTTATGTACCTGGGCATACTGAGCTACAGCCCTCAGTAACTTCTAGCATTTTGCAGTGTATGGACATATGTAAGAAGGACATTGTGACTTTGTGTGACCTTTGTAAGGAGTTGGCACAAGGTTATGTTGTTTAATTTGGGCTATATTTTTGTTAGCTTTTACACCTATGGAATGGTGTCTTCCTCTGCAATAATCTCACCTATATAGTAGTGTCAGAATCTGTCCTACCAGCTGGAGTGAGCTATTCTACACTATATCTGATATTCTTTCCTTTTTATCTGTTGAGATAGAGTGCTTTGCTGTATATCCTGATATCCCATGGCTTTCCTTTTGGAGCTCTGTTCACACATCTTGATTCCATCTGTACACTTGAAGAGGCCCGTTAGGTGGAAGATGTATCTGTCAAACACATGTAGATTCTGGACAGCAGCCCTTTACGGGTCACGCCTTGAAACATTACTAATTTGATTTCAAAGGGAGCTATTACAAAATGCCTTTTGTGTTGTTAGGCCTCAAGAGAAGCACCCCAGTTGGACACAGTGAAATGCTGCGTTTGCTATAGCCATGACGCTTCTCGTTGGAACAGATATGAGAATCAGTCATGTCTTTGTCTGGTAGCACTGTACCTCTTCAGGAGGAGTCCCCTGATGTGAGAGGGGGACGGCTGAATGTGTGTTAAAAGGTCCAGGGGACAGAATCTTAGTGATCCACAGCATCCATCAGATGCTGTCTAAAGCTGTTGAACAACCTCAGGAAATGAGTGGAAATCTGACTCTTGTCTGACTGTCCTGAGTCCTGAGAATGGCACGGTGGGTGCAAGAGGGTTGATGTACACATCTGTGCACTCCGTGGCAGTGCTTTGAAGATTTGAGTTGCAGCCTGTGGATTTTTATGATGCAGTCATGTGCATTTTTAAGACTAAGAATTAGACACCTTTGTGCTTGAAGTTAAGCATGACTGTGACTCATTCATCTGTCACTCTTGCAGACTTGGTGTGAGAACCATATGGATGGGAAGAAATAACCTAGACCCAAATTTACGTATTGCAAAACAGGAGGCCAAACACTGAAACAGCATCTAACAAAAGTGAGTACTTGGTCGAAGTTTCCACTTCTATTTGGTCAGATTTCCAACATAAATTAAATCATTGTCTCAAAGTAGTGGCTTTTCGCCCTGGGAAGCTGTGAATCTTCCCCCACAACCAATTGACTATTTGCAGTTAGTTACAGTTGCTCGTAGGCTGCACAATCTCTGAGCACATTAGAGCAGTAGTAGTAACCTGACTGGCATTTGTAAACGGGGAATGCTTGGGACTTCATAATACTCTAACTCAGTGCAGTAGTGTGCCAAAATAAAGGTCATTTCAATTTCGTATTAGGTCACACACTTTTGAAGTGACATGTGTTTAATGATTTTTCTCCAGTAAATGAACGATAGCAAGTATTACACTAATAGGCTTTGATAATATGCCCACAAAAAAGACAAAATCTTTTCAAAAACATTAAACTGATATTTTACCCAAAAAAAAAACCAAACCCAAAACAGAACAAAGATTCAAACTCCTGCCCAAAGCTTCTGTAATAAAGAAAATTAGACTTTTTGAGCCTTTCCAGATGATAGTTTGCAGAAGTTTCGCTGTAACATATTTATGTGTCCGTCACTACAGAGATTGAGGCTGATCTTCTGATAAGGATGAAAGAGAATGAAGGGTGCAAGTTGAGCTTGTCACAGAGGCTGTATCACAAACCCCATAACAGGACCACTAGAGGAGTGAAAAACTGACCCTTACGTGTATGTAGCCTATAACTGTGCATAGAAAGTACTTCCTGTCTTGTTATGTACTAAAGCCTTCTTGTCTTCCTACTCTGCCCAGTACTCCAACTGGTCATTCCCTGTTATCTTTCTGTCAGGCTATAGGCCCAAACAGGCACAAACTGGAACACAGGAGGTGCTATCTGAATATCAGGAAACACTTTTTCATGGTAAGTGAGGTCAAACACTGTTGCAGGTTGCCCAGGGAGCCTGTGAAGTCTCCATCCTTGGAGATGCTCAAAAGCCATCTAGACATGGTCCTGGGCAACTTGCTTCAGGTAACCCTGCTTGAACAAGGTGTGTTCAGATGACCCCCAGAGTTCCCTTCCAATCTCAACCATTCTATGACTGATTCTATGGCTGTTTGATCAGGGCTACTGACATCTTCTTTCTTATTCAAAGGTCTAAAGGTGTTGAACAAAATCCATTACCCAGTCTTGGTTTTTGAAATGTTGCTTCTTATGTCAGCAGTGGCTTGTGTGCCGTAATTAAAAAATTAACAGTTCCTTCAGCACAGAATATGAGAGAGAACTGTTTTGATTCTTGATGTTGTAGCTTTTGAATGTGCAGGAGAAACTGTTGCATTGAGCTGTTGCATTCACTCTTAGGAGGACATGTGAAGACTGTAGGAGGTAGGCTGAACAGTAATAAATGGCTGGTAGTGTGAACACTGGTGATGTACACGTTTCAGCAGTTTTTAACAAAGCTTATACCAGTTGAGGTTTGCAAAAGTTGCTTCTTAATATTCTTTAGTAGTCAGGGAATGAACTGTCTCTTGAACTGGTCACACACTAAGTCATGTCTTCTTTTTGGTCATTAGTCCCACTGAAATCAAACTGATGGTAAACTGTGAACACAGAAGTCAATACTGTATACAAAATAAAGTATGCATCTTCTTGTACCTCCTGTCTACCCCCACTGAGCAATAGGAATAGAAAGAGATCAGGACTGGTTTCCTGTCAAAATGTGGTATTAGGCTATAATCCTAGAATGAAACAGCTAAAGTAATTCCAATTAATTTCCTTTGGAGACACATTTTTTTGAATGGCACTTTAGGTGCGCAAACTGCAAGAAGGCTGCAGTGCTGTATACAGATGATAAATCTTTCTATGTTGTTCAGCTAATCAATTGCTGTTTTTGGGTCAATGGTTATATGACATTATTTAACAGAGGACAGCTAAGTCCATATAAATAATTTAAAAAGCAGAAAGAGATCATGTACTTGCTGTCTTAAACAATATGATGCAATTTAATAATAAACCATTCAGTACCACTCTCAATTGTTCTTACAACCTGTCCTACAATGTTTTACTATCAATTATTATACCAAATATAATATGATATTCCTATTTTTCCAGTGCATGAGCATGAGCATTTGCATGAGCTTCCATGATAAAAATGTTTGGCTTAAAAATTATTTCAACAAATTTTGAATTGTTTCTAGTCATATCAAATTCAATGCCAAAAGATAAACAAAATGGTTTCAGGAATACTTTCGATACTGTGCTTAATGAATTCATAGTAATAGGAAACTAAAATTATCTTTTGAATGCATGTGCCTTGGAACTGAGTAATGTCTTAAGACAAAAAAATACTGTGTCTTTGCTGCTTTTTGACTGATACAATGCCCAACAATATTGGTAGAAATTCTTTTCTGAGCAGAGATAGCAGGAGGGCACTGCAGTTGTCTTCCTTTGCCATGATTCCTGTATAGCTGCACGTGCATTGTGTCACTGGTTTTAATAATCAGCCCTGTTACCTGTCAGGGTAAGTTTTCCTTCAGATCCCCTTTTGCATTTCAGGTAGACGCTGCCATCGTGGTGTTTCTGTGCCGGGTACTGCGGCTGCTCAACCCCCGGCACTGGGACACATGCACTCGGATGAGGGGCTGAGACATGTGGAACTGTGCAAGGGCTGGTGCCAGGGATGTCAGAGCCAGTAACAGCCTGGCATTATGGGCTTGAGGGAAACCACCCCCTGGGACTGCAGCTGTGCTGCGGGACTGAAGACAGGTTGTGTTGCAGACGTACAGTAATGCTTAAAGGCTGACTGTGCTGTCAGAGCATCATGTCTCGTGTTTCACAAGAGAATCGTATGCAGTCTTTGGGCCTTTCATGTCTTGTTTTATCCTGAGACCCATCTCCTTTTGAAAAGACATTAAAAGGGGTCTAGTATGTAGGATTTTTTTCCTAGTAGAAGAGAAATTTTTCAGACTTTGCGTGACAATTGTTGGAAAGAGGGGCAACACTGTTACATAAATTTGAAGCATGAGAAATGCCAAATATATTCTGTAAATGATGTTTGTTTGAATGAGTGATCACAATCAAACAATACATCTTAATTGTTTTCTTTTCTTTAGAATAATCTCGCAGTCTTGCAAAAAGTAACAAGAACACCATGAAAACAGTCTCCAAACTTCATTGTTGTAGTTAAGACTTTAGTGAGAATATGTGCAAACAGTTACTGTCATAAAATCAAAGTTACTGCATCTGTAATAACCACAGCTTTGCCACTTTGCCAAAAATGAAGAGCTTCTATATCTATACAAATGGTTTAAAAGACCAGTGGTGGGAAATTCTTTTAATTACTTGCCTGTAAAAATACGAGTCACTTGCCAAAAAAAGAAAGTGTGAATTCTCTCTGTCGTTACTATTGACTTATGCTGCTACATAGAACTACTTCTGAGTTGACACTTTATAATAAAAATTGATTTTTTTGGGGGGAACTCCCAAAACTTTCTAGTTTGCATTAGAGCTCTGTTGTCCTCTGAGTGCATCCTCTCCTCGTTAGTGTTTTTTTTTAATTCCATGGTGCAATGTGCTACCCCTGGAACAAATGTGTATTTCTCAGTGGAACTTCCCATGCTGGTAGGGTTGGAGAAAAGGCAGTGCACAATCCTGCTGGCTTGATTTACATCTACATCTTGATTTACAGCACTGGGATACACATCTAAAAAAGTAATACAGGTGGTATCAGAGTGCAGGAGGTGTTTTTGTTATACAGAGTTGGTTTCAGTACATTTCAAGAGGAAGAGACTCTTCTTAGTATTCGAGAAGGGATGACAGATTGGAAGTTATGTTTGGGATGGGCTCTTGTCACTACTGAAAACAACTGTGGAGTCTCCAGGGAGCCTATTCAACTCTGTCTCATCTATGTTAAAAGGAAACCACGTCAATTGTACTCAAGAACTTGGATGTGTTTCACAAAACCACTTCAGTGTGACTTAGTGTTTTCTCAATTTTAAAGAGTGCTGTACCTCCTTAGTACAGGATAGGGATATGAAAAGTAAATAAACCATTCCTGTATCTAGGATGAAGGAAAAAAAGTGGATTAGGAGGAGCATGGAAAAATATACTGTAAATGTAAGTTTTACTGCATGTAATGGCTGCAGTGCTGGCTTCGGGGACCAGCTTTCCACTGTCCTGCTCTGTGGGCTGCAAAGTGGCTGTAAAAGTCTGCTCTGAGTGACCATGTTTCACAGTCTTTGCACAGATTTTAATCTGTGAGACAGCAAAGAATTAGACCCAGGTATGGGTTATATACAAGTACTCAGTCGAGCGCATTTGAGATGCAGGACATTTCTCTACTCAGAGCAAACAAGATCTGCAGCCCACTCAGAAGCTGCTTCACTTAATTGTTCTATACTTTTCTTGGCCAAAATCTTCTTCTGTGTGTCCAAAAGAGCACCTTTAAGATTAACCACGGAAAATGATTTTTAAGATGCCTTATTTACCCTTGACAGAAAAATTCTCTGTTGGGAGAAGCTGTCATAAAATTGGAGCTGTGGTTCAGGTTTGGTCATGCTGCTCCTAACTTTTCCCCACATGACTGCATTGTGGCTTGAATTGATCACAGCAAGTAAATTGAAGCTGTTCGTTCATTTAATTGTCAGTTCTGTGTCTGTGCAGTAAATCAGTCAATGATTCTTCTGAAGCGACTGCTGCTACATCACACAGCTGCTCACATGGCCACTGGATGTGTATTGATGGGGCTAATGTAGTCACTGAGCCAGGTTCACATCTAGCAATGTCACAGCTCCCCAGATATTGACCATGATGGTGATTTGTTCTGCAGCAGTGTCCTGAAAGCCTGGGCAGTGTCAGAAGCCAAGGTATGAGTTACTAGATAGGGTTATAGAGGCTACGTGAAACTTGTGAGAAGACAGTAAACAGCAAAACAATGGTGCTGGTGGTGGTACAGGATGCACAGACTAGCTTTACAGTCATTTAGATGTAGCATCACTGGAGGTGCCTTAAAATAGCAAATTTAGTAATTATTTTTAAATATTGAGCTTAACAATAAGATTTTATTTAAGAAGAATTTTATAATTAACTTTGCTGGCCATTCTGAACCTAGAAAACACACGATTAAATTTTTATGAACGAGGTGATAGGGGAGTTTTGATGAATATTTGAAAGACCAGCAGTAATCTTAAAAGTTAGTCTAAGGAAAATTTTCATTTATCCTGATTGCAGCAGTAGACCTATTACACACTTGAAATCATCTTACAGAAAACAGCTGTTAGGTCACTAGTCCACCTGAAGATAGGTAACTGTATTCTCTCTTGAGATGTGTTTTCTTGCTACTTTGAAAGCTAATATTAATTTAACCCTATTTTACCTCTTTTCTGTCTCTGATGCTGCTGTTAATAATCTCTGCCTCTTGCATGTTTTTTAACCTACCAGCATTTGTAGACTAATCACTTATGATCACAGACAATTTCAGCTATATCTGAAGTATTGATATAGAGATGAAAAGCTGTGTATTCCATTAGTGACCCTTCTCTGCCTCCTTTACATCTAAAGAAAATTATTTTTCTCTATAGGCTGGTTTGTTTTTTTTTTTTTTTTTCTGAGATTGCTCTCTCTTTGTCAATCACTTTCCTTAAAAACGTCTTTGAGACTTATTCTTGGGAGTATAATGGTCATCTTTGTCAAAAAACAAGGAAGCAGAACAATCTGTGGCATCAGAGAATTATTCCTCATGTGTACAGTTTAATAAGATGGGACTCATTGAACATCTTAAAATAACTCATTTCTTTTGGAGCAGAGGCATTCCAGTGTTATTTATGTTGATAATCATTCCATCATTCTAAGAATTCTTCTAGAAAACAAGATTCTGTGTTTAAACTGAAAACTTCACATTTTGGGGGGGAGAGCAGGTCAGTCATGATACTTACTGTTGTACAGATGATCTGGGTCAATGATAAGTTGTTTGCAACCACTTGGCACTGTGTGAACCAGCCAGAGAAATATGCCTTGGTTGTAATGGGGAGAAATTATACCGTTGCATATTTTTTGTGCTGAGATCAACTGTGGGGCCATGAGCAAGAATTAGTTCTTTCTCAGAATGAAAAAGGAAAAAAGAATGTGTACCACTGGGCACCACTGGAGTAGCACTTACTTAGCTAATGAAGTTCCTAAGCCTATGGAAATGCTGAGAGTAAGTCCTGTTTCCCTGCTGCTTACTGTGCTGAAGCAAGATCATTATAAGACCATTATTTTGTAAGAATAAGGATTGATAATATGAATAAGTATTTTCAGATCACATTGCACTCAGCATTGGAAATTTCTCAGAGTTAATGGTTCCTCCAGCTAGTCATTTATTGCCAGAAAAGCCTTCTTTATTGATTATTATTGCATATTAATGGATCTATCAGATATTTATTTTGCAAATTTCTTGGTTAAATTTTCTTTATTAATTTCTCCCAGGGGTAAATGAGCTGCAGAAGTTGAAAGAGGCAGTCCTCTTCTGCTAGGTCTGGATATTTAAATGTGTTTTCAAAATATCAGCTTTATTACAGGAGAACTTGGAACAGCCATTTGGATTCCAATTACATAGTGGATTGCAAGACTTTTTATTATGTAAGGATTAATTTAGAAAACAGCTGGATGACTATGTCAAGAATACTAGCATGAAGGGAATCACAGGAGGGCAAATTTCCAGAAAAATTCTTGATACCTGTCATCAGAACTGTCTGGGAAGAAGTCGAAGCTGTGTATGTAAATGAAACTGCACATTTCCAGCTACCACTCTTGTTTGTGCAAATGGGAGTTTAGGAGGCACAAGTTTAGTAGTTCCATTTAAATTGATTGTGCCAATATCTGAGAGGTGATTGGATGAATTTATCAGTGTTCCAGCTACTGCTTATAATTGCTGCTTCACGTTATAAACAAAGCCATTAACTGAAACATATCTACATTTACTGAAATGAGTTTCATTCATTGAAGACACTGGGGCACATTTAATGCCTTTTTGCTTTGTGTAAAGACAACAATAAATCTCGCACGTTTGCTAATATTTAAATCAAACTTCAAAGTTAACTCAAATGACTACTTTGAAGGAGCAGGCTTTATGCATTCAACTAAAACCTCTCTTTTTACATCAAAATTTTTCTTACGGGTTCATTGTTGATAGGAATTTGTATAAAGACATTGCCTTCAGGAAGAAACATTGGAATTTTGGGGATTTTTTTAACCAAATATATAAGGATATGTCATACGTCATGATTATGCTTCCTCACATGCAGTTGGATCAAATGGACTTGAAATACTGATACACTAAACCTACAATAAAATTCTCTAATATTTCAGTGAACATGGTCACATGTGAAGCTATTTCAGAATGAAGCTTATAATCCTGGACCTCTTTTCAGGAGAGGCTGAATATATGTATGAACATGCTTTATAAAACAAATCCTAATAGAGGACTTGTTACAGTGCATGGTATTACATACTATGCTCAGTTACTATTGGGGCAGCACAAGGCTACATAGGAAGATGTAATTTAACCTTCTACATGTGTATCAGGATTTACATAATTCGGTTCTACTGCAGTTAAATTCTATGGTAAAACTAACCTGTGGATCAAACAATAATTGCAATGAGGAGGGATGTTCATGTAGTAATTTTATTACCTTGTCCTGG